TCTTCTTACCGTCGCCATTACATCCATTTGAATATTATTGTAGGTGTAACTGATTCAAAAACCACAGTCAGAGTACAGTTTCTGACCCTCTTGTTGACTAGTTTTATTCCTAGAACATACCCCACCTTAGGTAGTCCACGGGGGCTACCCCCTGGGCATCACGTTGGTGACCCCCTGATCTAGAGGTTGCTGCCTTTCATAGAAAAATAAAAGACTTTAAGGTTGATTTGAGAGTCTAAAGTGAATTTAGTTTTTCCAGTATCTTCACATTGATCTTGGATCTTAAATATAAAAAAAAAATAATAAAAACTGCAACTTGGTTTTTGATTATAGCAGTTGGCTCACAGGAAATTTTAAAAAAATAGTAATAAAAACTGCAACTTGGTTTGTGATTATAGCAGTTGGCTCACAGGAAATCTTGTCATCAAAAATGTATCATCTATGGAGGTTCGTTAGTTGACACTGATGGGAGATCAACGGCGATAATTATTGACTTTGTACATCACAGATGTACGTTCATACATTTGTTTGTCATGATTGTCTTGGTCATTGTTTGTGATTGTGGTTCCTGAGGTCTCGGTGGTCTTGGTGGTCTTTGCTCCATTTTCCTGTACTCCCAGGCCTGTTTCCTAGTGGTCTACCTTTGTGCTTTTCCTGGTTTTTCTCCCGTTCCTGCCTTTCTCGTTTTCCCTGAACTAAGACTCAAAGATTCTGTGGGCTTTACTGCCAGATTTTAGTTGAAACGATCAAATAAACTTTACTGTTCTTCCCTCCTGAGTGCTGCAGTAGAGTCCCGCCTGCTTCCCTTTATCTTGACATTTATCATGGCATTTTTAAAATTATTATTAATTCCAACATTTGGATTAGTCACAACAAAAAAAACAGATGGTCTTTTAGACTGTTCCATTTAGTCTAGCCGTAATATTTATCAAATACATTTAGGTTTAAACACCAGTTTAACATTAGAAAAGACAGCATCAGTCCAACCTAACACGAGCAGAGACGTTTCTGTATTAAATTTCCCTACGATCAAATTCAACATGTCACGACACATTATTGTTATTATACAAATGTACACATTTGATCCTCTCTATAATCCCGGTCAGATTTAAATACATCCCATAAAAGATACGGATTAGTGCGGGCTCCGGAGCGTCAGTACTTGTAGCAGCTGTCAGACCTCACATCAGTCAAACGGCATTTTCTAAAGCTCGGCTGTAAATACCAGCAGTGCGGAGGCAAGAATGGAATCAATTCATCTGGGCTCTTTGGTGGCACTGCAAATGGGACTGTCATTGGTTACCAATACAACATCAGCATAAATCTGCCTCCCTCACCCTCTGTGATCCACTCTCTCTGCATGGCAGCAGCAGCAGTAGCAGCAGCGGTGGTGGCGGTGGTCCGCTGAAAGTGCCCTAGTGTGGAGGTGGAGTCCAAACCCTGCGACGTCTCTCGTGTTTAAAGGGGAAGTAAAATGTTCATAGAAGACCTAGGGTGACACAGGAATAGCAGCTGTGTGTGTGTGTTTACGTGTGTGTGTGTGTGGTTTAATAACGTTGCTGTCGTTCAAAGAGTTTCCCCGATTCATCTGGAGATTACTGCACAACTTTTAAAAAGAGAGTGCTAAAAAGTTCCGTAGAAAAGTCCAAACTGTCCACGTCTCCGTGTGGGAGTGGAGAGTGGCCCCATCTCCAGGTGTGCTGTCACTTCTTATGTGGCTGCGGTGAGCCATCAGTCAAAATTAACGACCTCATCGAGCATTCAGGACAGGCATCAATTAAAATCAGTGGAGCTCAATATTGTTTTATGGTATATTTACATTTTAAAGCTTGATTTAATTATCCTTGGACCGCAGAGCTTCCACCGCGGCTCTCCCTCCCTTCACTCCCACACCTCACTTCCTTTCATTAAAATAAAAATGGGACATAAAGGACGGGCCTCTGTAAATGCTGAGCTGGACAGTGGAGCCGTGAAGCCTGGTGGAGAGATTTGGCAAAACTTTGAAAATTGAAGTATTTGTTTTTTAATATGCAACCACAAAAACAATGTGGAAATACAAATTAGTTTTGTCTAATTTCTTAATTTAAATATACTAAATATTTAAAAGCTAATTGAGGGATGAGGGATGTCTCGGTGCCTTTGTTGTAAGTCTGTCTCCTATCTCCATCCCTGATCCCTGAAATTCCTTCAAACTCCTGACGTTGTCCAAAAAAAAAAAAATAAAAGAACTGTGGACGGAGAAGAAAAGTCGTTGTCGTAGTTAGTGCTGGGTAACTGTATCGGAACAGTATTTGTAGTATCAGTATTGCCCCAGTACTGCTCAGTATCAGTGTTTCTATCCCTAAAGTACAACTGTGATTCATATGTAAAACCATTCATAGTTTTTTTTTTTTTTTTAAATTCCTTTTTTTACATACTCTGCAAATTATAGCGAGCCACAAAATATTCCTAAAATATTCCGAAAAAGTCCCAGAATAGTGTCGTACATCACAGCCTGTTGGCCTAACAGCCCTCGCGGGATAATGTATATAAATATGATTATTACCGGACAACCAAGTCCGCGGCTCTTGTTCCCGTTCCTGCTGCTGACATAGTTGTTTAATAAGTCTCCCAGTGAAGTGCCACTGGGCAGTAGCTGTCCGTGGTGCTGATGCAGCACTACTGCATGTTTCCTTAGTGCAGGCGTTTTGTTCTCTTGGCACAGGAGAGAAGTAGGTTCAGGTCACCGGATATGCTTTGTTCCAACCCAAAGAAGTGAAGTGCTTCGTAAAGACCTACTTATTGAGACGCCAGTATTACTGTAAAGTACTGTATTAGTACGTTGCATTTTTTTTTTTTTTTTTTTAGAAATCAATACACTGAAGTATCCTGTGACGTGCATTTTGGGTTTTTTTGTAGTAAGTGTAAAACACACTGTGTTTATCTGTGTTGTCAGTATAGTTTTGACTTTATAAACTTTCAAAGAGTCAAAGACCACTTGTATTGACAAAATATCTTGAGTGAGTTTCAGACATACTTCTTATGAGTGCATGTATTGTAATAATAAAAAGAAGTTTTAAAATACAAAATCGCCAACATTACCAAGAAAAAACTTAAGCAAAAAAGAAGAAAAGAAAGGAAAAAATGTTTAAATCTATTAAGCATTTATTTTCAAAAAACACATCTACTGCTGCTGTACCTGTCTGTTTTTGTTATGAAATGATTGCCCCATTTATTGTTTCCAGCTAAATACTTTCTGTGTATTTTCATACTCAAAGTTTTTTTTTCTTAATTTGTAGCCAAACAAACACAGTTAACCTGAAAGGGCTTTAGAAGTAGATTTTTTTTTGTTTATTAAACATCAACGTTTTTGACTCTCTGAAATCGCCAAATTTCCCCCTCACATTTGAAACCTGAACACTTCTGGTAGTTTTTTTTTCTCTCTGAATCAGAGCAAATGTCTCCAGAGCTCTTTTTCACAAAGTAAGAAGAAAAAAAAATCACAACAAATACATACATTCAGGCTCTCTCTTTTTCCTGACGTTTTTTTGAAAACATTGCATTTTATGAAGTGGAGGAGGAGGAGGAGGAGGTGACACGCTGCAGACTGAAGGAAGTCAGGGAACAAGTGATGGTCTGAAGGGGGAGAAAAAGGTGAACAATGGAGAGAAATAGAGGGTTATGGGGGAGTCAGAGGGGGAGTCAGAGGGGGAGGTGAAGAATTAAGAATGAGTGGAGCTGGAAAAGTCAGAATCCAGAGAGAACCTAGAAACAGCTGACATGTGGGGAAGGTGGAGGACAGACAGCAGCGTTGATGGATGAGAGAAGTTGGTTGAGCTGGAGAGGAGAAAGAGTATTAAGTCAATGGGATAATGATGTGTCAAAGTGTGACCAAGCTGGGAAAATGGGAGATGTCTTTCATCATCACTACAGTGTCCTCTCTCTCACCCCGTCAGGTGAAACGCTAAAGGCTGGGAGGATGTTGTCGGAAATGTTAAATGAAAAAAAGAAAACAGTTTCAGTTCATCAGTCTTAATGTAAATAATAATAAATAAGTAAATAATAAAAAATGGATACAATGCTGAAGAATATCAATATGTTAGCATGGAACGAAATATCATAATATTTTCCTACACCCCTGAATGACATGAATAATGTCGTACAATACCATTAGATATACTTTAGACGGGGTGTTTTCCTTCCAGAATCCTGATCCGTGTTGTGTGTGTGCTGTAACCTAGCATTAAGCTTTAGCCTGTAGCGTGACAGAGCAGCAGCTTCAGAGCAAAGGCGAGAGGGGGGGGGGGGGGGGGGGTCGGGCAGACAAACCCTGGGGGAGACCAACAAACACAAACACACACTTTCTCTCCACAGAAGGAGGAGATGTTCACTTCACGCGAGCCTCAAGTTACCGCTGTGTGAACGCAACACACATAAACAGACCGCGTCCGAGTGAGACAACACGAACGCGTCCTCCACGGACAACAGATCACGTGACTCCTCCGTCAAGGACGTGCAGACCCGGTGAACCACGGTGAAAATGTTGCACATTACCGATGCCAAACACTCTGCCCTTTTATAATCTGACCATGCTAATGCTACGGTACGCTTCAGACACGACGAGGAACCTCGTTATTCCGGATATAAGGTCACGACTTCAGTTAAAGGTCACGCATAAAAACGAATAACAAACACAGTTGTTTACGTGGTGTGTGTCTTCAGCGTAGTTATATATCTTTAGGCTGTAGGGGGCGTGTGGATCTGCTGTACTTATTTACGTGATTTTTTTTTTTTTTTTTGCGATTTTTATTGTTAGTACAACACAGAATTGAATTGCTTAGTGAATCTTTTTTTTTTTTTACTGCAGTAAATGAAAACTGCTGTTCTCATTAAACAAACAAACAAACAAAAAACACATATTTTTTCCCACTCTGTGTGAAGTGAAGAAAAGTTAAAGTTTTTGTCCTGCCTTCAACACTTTCTTGCCCCCTAGGGGCCCTGTCCCCCATGTTGGGAACCACCAGGAGGACTTTTTGTCGTCAGTGGAACTCTTATATTTAAAAACTAGTTTTTATTTTGAGTGATTTTTGTCAGTGGAACTCTTTCTTAAGAGTTCCAAAACTAGTTTTTATTTTGAGTGATTTTATTTTATATAATTTTTTTTCATTTTTTGAACTAAAACCGTACTCTCGTTGGTCATGACCAACCTGACCCGTCGGAGTGCGGGGCAGGTTCACGTCTCTCTAACGTCCGGTGACACACGTTGCTTTTGGGCCTCGTTTGGCGCCGATTAACACTGCCTCACACAAGCCAAGAGGGGGCGCTTACCAATAAAATGAAAGTATATGGGTAGTAATATCTCTGCGCCGCTAACGACCACTGCGGCGGTTTTTACGAGTGCGTGGTTTCAGGTAAATAAACATCATTAGGGATGAAAAAACAACAAGGGCTCAAAGAAACATGAGGGAGAAGAGACCATTTTTGTGATTTATCGTTTCACAACGCGATGAATTCTGCTCATGTGTTGTGGTGTTTTTTCTTTGTTTTTTTTTACTAAAGGTTTGAACGTATGCTCAGGAGTGAAGCGGGTTTATTTTTCTATTGTTAGTTACATTTGTTGTTACATTTATATGGAAGAAGCTGGACCACAGCTGTACGGGGAGGACTGCGGGCTTCAGTATGCCGAGTGAATGCACTTCCACAGTTGCAGCGGTGAAACACATATGAGTGCTTTAACAGAAAAGCCGCTGTGACACATATTGACTTGTGCTGGGCTGGAAACAGAATTGATTTCCCTCACTGAGCTCCAAAGAGAGAAGCACAGAGCAGAGGGGGGAGGAGGGGGGAAGAGAGGGGGGGAGAAAAGAGGGCAAACAGTGGTCTGTGTTCTGCTGTGGTCCAGGTTAAATTACCAGCTTTACAAATGACATTAGGAAACAGTGTAAAACTAATCTAAAAGGCAGAATAAAGATTTTTCCACAACAGGAGATTTATCCTGCCGGGGGATTTCTGGAGCACGCTGTTGTACAAACAGGAACGAGAACCTTGTCCTAATTTATCCCCGTGTTTCTCCAAAACTGCGATACATCACCAGCTCTGTCGGGAAATGGAGCACACCTGGCACGTGTGCCGGTGCGCGCGCCGATGACATGTTTGACATACGTTGCGCGGTGTTCACCTTGGTCATGCGCGGCGAGGTTAATGGTGGCCACATCAGCAGGTGACTTAAAAAGCGTTTAGCGGTTATAATTGATGATGCAATTACTGCCCAGATAAAGCTGAGGTCTGTTTCCCCTCCAGCTTCGTCTTCTTGCTGCGGGCCGGGGCCCCTCTTCCTCGTTCCTCCTCTCCATCAGGAAATCATGTTATCGCCGCAGAGGTTTCCCTTCAGGTGGGTTAGTGAACATCATGCACCTATTAAACCTATAGTGTCCTACAGCTGAAGGTGAGTGGAACCAAAATAGCCGTCGGAGCTGCTCTCCACGGGTTTAACTCTTTAAGGTAAGATATGAGTGATTAAGTTTCTAGAAAACTTCCTGAAAGATCATAAGTGGTTCTCAAGGTGTGGGCCGGGACCCCCTCGGGGGTGTGGAGTTACCGCATCGGGGACTCAGCAAGTCAAATGAATTGATTTTTTTTTTTCAGGTAAAAAATCACTGATTTGTAATTGAATACCTTTTAACGTAAAAGTTGGTTTACTCCTCGCCTGTGGTTCTCAAAGTCTGGGGTGGGACCCCCTTGTGTGGCGTGGAGCTACTGTGGTGGGGGCACAGTAGGTCAAATACATTTATTTTTTTTATTATTTGGGCTACAGTGGTAAAATGAATTTTCCTTTTTTCTATTATAAAATTTCTAGCAATTACAGAGCATTGTTTCCAAAAGACTGGGTCACGACCCAGGGTTCCACAAAAATTTTTTTTGGGTCGTCTTGCAGCATGTTTACGAATAATGTCTATTGACTTGGGTCGACAAGGTTTGCTTTTAAAATACCTTCACTGTCGGCAGTGAAAAGACAAGTTCACTGCTAAAAAAGTGTGAGAACCCGGTCATTAACGAAGAGGAAAAAAGACAAGAACAATTATATTATGTAAATGATTACAGCTCTGGTTGTTTCACATCAGTCCAGACTGAAAAAAACGAAGGTGATTTTATTCACGTCAAACTCTTTGACAAATCATGAATAAACGCCCCTTTAACATCTCAAAAAGGGTTTGAAGAGGGCGGTCAGACTTAATTCAACTTGTGGCGCTGACCGCTGAGTGACTGACGGTTCACTCAGTCACATGAGAACAATAACCCTGCTGCTCTGCTCTAACCTGCAGGGAACCTTTGGCCAATCAGAGGCGAAAGAAACACTTTGTCAAGACACCGAGGGTGTATGATGTAGGTTTGGATTGCCCACCCTTCACCTAATTAGAGCCTTGTGAGACCTCCTGGATGGCTGCCGCTGGTAACTCCACAGTATAAACACAACCTGTCCGTGTGAGGAGTGTGTGTGTGTGTGTGTGTGAGGCGCTGGGTCCGTTCCTCACAGCGGGCGGGGGCTTTTACTGCGATTACCTGAGGGCAGTTATGCAGACAGATGCCTTCTCAGCAGGAGGCGTTCAAGTGAGCAGCACAAATTTAAATATGCCAAGGTGCACATCCACCGCGTCTCTGCAGCAGCACGTGTGATGGCGGCCGTGGGTTTGGTGCTGCTTCAGATGTTTAATTATGAGAAAGAAAATAATAATAATAATAATGTTGGAGCTTAGTGGGCAGGAAGGTGGAGAAGACATTATCATTTCAAAGTAGTTCTGTCTGTTTTCAGGTCATCGGCGACGGTTTTAACTCGTTAATTTATCCACAACGCACTCATTAAATAAGCAAACGTTTCTTAAGAAAGTTTAGTTTTTGGCTTGTTTTTATAAAAATCTGTCCTCTAGTTACCGTAACACAATGGTCCTCAACCGTTGTCGTACCAAGGACCGATCGGCCGGTATCTGCCGTTACTGCCGACCGATAATACTGCGCCGTTGTTGAAGGATCATGACGTTTTTTTCATCTTTATTCTTTAAATTTTGGAGTCTGAAACATTGCCAGATGATCCTGTAATGTAAAAAGTAAAGAGATTTGATTGGATAATTTTTGATTATTATTTTTGGAGTACATTTTTATCACTGTCTCCCACTGCGGTCCGGTACCAAATGACCTATGGACCGTCACTGGTCCCTGGACCAGGGGTTGGGGGCCGCTATGGTACCACATAAATTGATCATGTGTTGCAATACTGCTCATATTATTGGTCATATATATATAAGGTCTTGGTAATTCCAGGGTGTGATTGTAGAGTCTGACAGCAGCGGCAGAAACAGGTTATTACAGGTCGATCATAAGTTTCTGTGCATCTAATGATAACTCATACCATCGACGCTCCATCATTACCATCAAAATGATCACGTAGGTCCATGTGCTGCACTGAGAAAAACACACACACACAGACTGGAACCACATCAAGATGGATGATAATTAATGTTCTACATTTTCTCCTGGTTTTTCGCAGCGCTCGTCAAGCTGTTCCACTCACAGTCCCCACATTTTTATCAGCGGTTTACTTGACAGCCCTTCTATGGCTCAGTGACTTCCAGACACATCGGTTGGTGGCGAGGAGAGCGGCGGCGGCGGCGGCGGTGGCTCGTGGCTCTGCAGTTTACTAAATAGTGACTCTTTCTCTGCCGTGTTGCCGCCGTGTCGCCGACCCCGTCTTTGTTGTGATGTTTCCGTGCGGGAAACGCCACCGTCGCACAGTGATCTCTAACAGAAGCTTGTCACAGCGTGGTGTGGGTACCACGCTGGTACGGAACGATGTCGCCAACAAATGTTTACACTCAGAGAAGGAAATATGATCAACAAATATTTATTTATTTATTTATTATTTTAAAGAAGGAGGAAACGACGAGATCTGAAGTTTTAGCAGTCTGTACTGTACTGCAGTTGTACTGCAGTTGTACTGCATCAAAGGTCAGGAGATTTCTCTCTCAGAACCAAAGTTGGTCCGGACAACCGGAGTTATTTTCGGGGGTCAAAGGTCAGGAGATTTAAATAGATTTCCAATTGTACGGTTTTGATTAATGAAAAAGGAAAGAGTAAAGATTTAAATTACAGTTCAAAAACCTATTGTGTTTTATTGAGTAAGACAATGGGGAGGAAAAGGGGGCGGGGCTGGTAAACAGCTTATCATGTTTGACCCCTGACCTTAATGACCACTCCCACCCTTCCTGTCCCTTTGCTGGGATTTTTCAGGTCTAATCATTTCGGTCAGGTTCTTTCAAAATGTTGACTCCTCTGCCTGTGTTTCTGTCCTTTGTCCTGTGACAGAGACACTTCTTTGTTTTCCTGTTGTGGGGCATTTGAGCGCTGTAAAAAAAAAAAAAAAAAAAAGTAACCTTTTCTACACGTGCCAAACAACCAGATGCCAAATTAAATGTTATGGAACATGGTTGACTAGGTTGTAATTTCTAACAGACCTCTGTGACCTGAGAGTGTTGTGTCATGAGAGACGC